ACCCCCCACGCACGACGCCCCCCTCCACTCACGACGCCCCCTCCACGCACGACGCCCTCCACGCACGACGCCCCCCACGCACGACGCCCTCCTCCACACATGACACCCTCCTCCACGCATGACGCCCCCCCACGCATGACACCCTCCTCCACGCATGACGCCCCCCTTCATGCACGATGCCCTCCTCCACGCCGCCCTCCTCGAGGGGCCAGGGTCTCCGGCACGTGGAGCCGAGATCCTAGAGGCCGCCCGCCACTCCTTCCTTCCTGCCTGCCCTACCTGCCAGACTCCGGCTGGGGGCAGCCCAACCCTGCCCCGGAGCCAGCATCCCAAGGGGCTCCCATAAGTGGGCCGGTGCTGGGTGGCCCAGCCGGTGGCCTAGGATGTGAGGAGGAGCCGGGGATGTGGGGCACAAGGACCAGCCGTGCGAAGGCCTGGGGCACAGGTTGTGGGGAACAGGGCAAGGTCCGGCACAGCAAGGGGACTGCGCGGCTGGGCTGAGAGCCTGGCGGAAGAGGGTGGGGCACGGGGCCCCCGCAGCAGAGGACGCACATGGGCCTCGAGGACGGTGGAGGGGGAAGCCTCGCAGGTGGACACTGAGCAACAGGAAGTGCAGAAGCCACCGTGGAGGAGGCCCCTCACTCTGGCCGGCCCCTGTGGCAGGACACTGCAAGGCCGAATATCCCCTGAGGGTCCTCGGAAAAGCCGCCCCCACCTAGAGGACTGGTTCCCCACCGGACTGGTCCTGGAAGGCCACGGCCTCCCCTCCTGGAGCTGCCCCCTGAACTCTGCTGAACCCACAGCTGAGACATTAGCCTAGAGGAGCCCCAAAGCCCCTCTGTCCAGACCCACGCCCAGGACACAGCACTGCAGGCCTGCTCCCCTTCCCGGGGCCTCCCTCACCCCAGAGGCCACCTGGCTCTGGAACACCACCAACAGAGACTGAATGTGCGGGAAGCAGCAGGTGGGTGGGGGACAGGGAAACAGAGGGACACTCCTCTCCCTGCATTATTGATGGAGGGATGGAACAGGAGCCCCAGGGACAGGAGGAGACAGCTTCCTGGCAGGCACCACTCCCAGCCCTCTGCGAGAAGCGGAGCCCATGATCCAGGCCAGCAAGGAGGCCAGGCACCAAGAGACTGCTCAACCCGCAGCTCTGCTCGGAAGCCTGAGTCCCCTAGGTGGTGGCAGGCTCAGAGGTGGCAGGAGGGAGGTGCTGAAACTTCCTGAACCCAAGGTGTCCTGGCACCTGAGCGCTCCCCCAGGTAAACCCCCAGGGGTCTAGGTAGCTCCCTGGGCGAGGGTGCTCAAAGCCTTTCAGGGGGTGTCCTGGGCCCCGGGAGACCCCTGGTAAGCTCACACAGCCTCACAGTGCACCTGGCATGTGTGACAGAGGTGGCTATGAAGGGCTGGATGACATCGAGCCAGGGCTGCACCTGTGTCCTGGGTTGGTGGGAAGGGACAAAGCCCAAGGTGGCCGGCTGGGGTTTGGGGTGCAGTCATGGACACGCCTCTCTTGGATTAGGCTGACTGCCCTGGGGTGGAGTACCTGCCGGGGGGGCCTGGCTGGGTAGACAGGCTGGTGCCTGGAGAAGCCATCATGGAGGGACACTCAGGCCTGCCAGGAGCCTGAGCAGGCCTTGGTGGGCCTGCTCTCTTCCCCTGTGTGCCGTAAGTGAGAGTAGACAGGGCCAGCTCACTCCAGGGCAGCTCTCGGTATCAGGAGGGACCCAGACTGCCCCCTGGCAGGAGGAGCAGTCCCACAGGCCGGTCCTCAGGGGGCTGCCCTGGGGCTGCAGGCAGGGGCTGGCGAGCACAGGAACGGCTCAGAACCACGTCCCAGATCTGCGGCTGGCACTGCTTGACTTTCAGGGCACCAAGGTATCTGGAAGCCAGGGTGTGGGCAAGGACAGCCACTGGCCACCAGTTGAGTGAGCTGTGCCATTTCTGAAAGATGGTGTTCACTGGGTCTCTCCAGGGCTCTCAAGGGCCAGGGGAAGGGACTGTAAAGAGTCCCTGGGGAGCAGTCCCCCATGCTCTCTCTGGAGATGACAGAAGAGCCCCCAAGAAGCCACAGAGGGCCTCCACTGAGCCCCAGCTGCCCAGTAACCCACTAGCAGCAAAAACAAGGAGGTCAAAAGGCCAGCCTCTACCTCCACAGACGGCCTCACTGCCGACTCCCACTTGCATCTAAGGGAATCCTGGTCGTGGGATTCCCAGAGGCAGGACTGGACCGGGACGGCCCTCCTCAGGTGTCTTGCTGACCAGGATGGGCCCTCCCCAGGTGTCTCGCAGGGACCACGGCAGCCCTTTTCTCTGGGCCAGTCTGGGTACAGGAAGTTTTTACTGAGCTCAGGGTGCTTGCCCTCCCTTCACTGGGCCAGGCCTGACTGTATGGAAGGACCAGCAGAGCAGAGGAAGGCCTGGGCCAGAAGCACCCCCAGAGTCACTGTTCGCACTGGACCTTGGGGACAGAGTTGGCCTTACTCAGTTCTAGCACAGCAGGAGTTCAGCAGCAGTGTATTCAGCCAGTGCCTAATGAATGTTTCCCAGCAGTGAACTCCTGCTTCCCCTGAGGCTTTGGGTGAGCTGTGACCGCTCCATGCTGTCCCAGCCCAGCTGTGGCAGACACAGGACACGAAGGGCAAATTCTCAGTCATCTGCAGCTGGACTCAAGGCAGAATTGGTGGCGGGTGCTTCAGTCCAAAGGGACTAACTCCACGTGGATTGCCACGGCCATGCCTCATCCTGAGCCAGGACCCTGACACTCCACGGCCACGGCCCCCTGCCCCCTGCCGCCTCCAGCCCCAGCAGAATCAGAGATCAGATCACAGTGTGGCAGACAGCACAGAACAGGCACCTTGGGCTCTGAGTGGGGTCACCCGACCAGGAGGCCAGTCCATCCAGCCAGGGCCTGTGAGTCCTCACCCAGCCAGCAGAGACGCAGGGACATATCAAGGCTAGCGTGCCTGCAGTTGTCATGTAGACTGCCACCTCTGCGCCCCAGGCCTTCCTGCAGCCCCCTCTGACAGCCAGCTCCATTGCTGTGCTTGCCTAATTAGGGTAATTAAATGAAATAACAAAAGCAAAGTAATGGGAAATCTCTTCATGAACGGTCACCTCCCTGTGGAGTGCCTCCATCAATGTCAAGAACCAGAGAACAGGACAGGCCAGACAGGCAGATCTCCGTGCTGACCACACCTGCCTGCACGCTCGGACCTCCACCAGCCTCTGCCTTTGCCACTCGCCACAGAGGCACTGGTCCAGTGGGCCACATCTCAGGAGGGTTGGCTGCTGAGAAGGACATCAGAAGCCAGCACCTGGCCGGGCCCCCATCCCCCAGAAAACCCTCCAGTGCACTGGCCTGGCATCTGGGCACCTGGGCATCCTGAACTGGACACAAAACCAGTCCATCTCCCTTCCTGCTCCCGAAGGGGGTCCTTGAAATAGCACCCACACTGCACCCCGTCCTCAACTCTAGTCCCAGTGTCTGGGCCTCACCAGGAAAAAGGTCAGGCAGCTCAGCAGGGCTGCCAGGGCCAGGAGGAAAATGGAAGGGAAACAGGCTGTGCGCGGGGAGGCTGTGCGCAGGGAGGCTGTGCAGAAAGGCTGGGTGCAGGAAGGCTGTGCGCGGGAAGGCTGTGGGCAGGAAGGCTGTGCAGGAAGGCTGGGTGCAGGAAGGCTGTGTGCGGGAAGGCTGTGCAGAAAGGCTGGGTGCAGGAAGGCTGTGCGCGGGAAGGCTTGCGCGGGGAGGCTGTGCAGGAAGGCTGTGCGCGGGAAGGCTGTGCGCGGGAAGGCTGGGTGCGGGAAGGCTGGGTGCGGGAAGGCTGTGGGCAGGAAGGCTGTGCAGAAAGGCTGGGTGCAGGAAGGCTGTGCGCGGGAAGGCTGTGGGCAGGAAGGCTGTGCAGAAAGGCTGGGTGCAGGAAGGCTGTGCGCGGGAAGGCTGTGGGCGGGAAGGCTGTGCAGAAAGGCTGGGTGCAGGAAGGCTGTGCGCGGGAAGGCTGTGCAGAAAGGCTGGGTGCAGGAAGGCTGTGTGCGGGAAGGCTGTGCAGAAAGGCTGGGTGCAGGAAGGCTGTGGGCAGGAAGGCTGTGCAGAAAGGCTGGGTGCAGGAAGGCTGTGTGCGGGAAGGCTGTGCAGAAAGGCTGGGTGCAGGAAGGCTGTGGGCGGGAAGGCTGTGCAGAAAGGCTGGGTGCAGGAAGGCTGTGCGTGGGAAGGCTGCGCGCGGGAAGGCTGTGCGTGGGGAGGCTTGCGCGGGGAGGCTGTGCAGGAAGGCTGTGCGCGGGAAGGCTGTGCGCGGGAAGGCTGGGTGCGGGAAGGCTGGGTGCGGGAAGGCTGTGGGCAGGAAGGCTGTGCAGAAAGGCTGGGTGCGGGAAGGCTGCGCGCGGGAAGGCTGCGCGCGGGAAGGCTGTGCGTGGGGAGGCTTGCGCGGGGAGGCTGTGCGCGGGGAGGCTGTGCAGGAAGGCTGTGCGCGGGAAGGCTGTGCAGGAAGGCTGTGTGCAAGAAGGCTGTACAGGAAGGCTGTACAGGAAGGCTGTGCAGGAAGGCTGTGTGCAGGAAGGCTATGTGCAGGAAGGCTCTGTGCAGGAAGGCTCTGTGCAGGAAGGCTGTGTGCAGGAAGGCTGTGTGCAGGGAGCTGGCTATGTGCCGGCCCAGAGTGAAGACCCTCAGCACCCTGGCCATGTGCCCTGCAGGCAGTGGGTGGGTGGGTAGCAAAGGCCTTGGTGGCAGGGCAGAGTCCTAAGGTGCAAGTACAGACCTGAGTGTTGGGTGGGGTTCACCCTGGGTAGCGTTTCACCCCTTTGTGGGGGCGACTTCCCGTCACCCCAAGACCCCCCACCCTCTGAGCCCAAGAGTCCTTTCTCTGCCCTAAGATGACCAGGGAAAAGGGCCTGAGGCAGGGCACAGAGGGGCCCGGCCTGAGCGGGGCTGGGCCGCCAGGCCGGGAGGGAGGGTGTTGACGCTGTCCAGGGCAACAGGAGGCTCTGCCTGGGCCCAGCCTCTGGGCAGTGTCCACTGGAGGCTCTGCAGAACCCAGCAACCAGGCTGCTGTGGAGCCACCCAAGCCCTCTACCCAGCCAGGAGGAGTGGGGTTGCCCGGGCCGCGGCCCCCCAGCACAGGGCCGGCTCCGCCTGGGGTGCAGGGACCTGAGTGAGTCTGTGAGTGTGCACACCTGTGTCTCTGTGTGCCAGGGAGGGTTCGAGGGATCCTTGTTTGTGGTCCCTGGGGACTAAGAGGGTCCAGGCCCTGAGTCCTTCAGCTCAGCAGTGGGGAGGGAGGGGCTGGCCGGGGCCTGGAACCCCCAGAGCCAAGCCCCATGGCGTGGGCCAGCATTGCCCCCATCCCCACCCCAGAGCCAGGCAGGTCCCCACGGTGCCCAACCAGGTCACCCAGGTGTGAGCAGGGCGCAGGCCCTGGTGGGGGCTGCCAAGGCTGCACGGCCTTCCTGAGGCCCTGCTGGGAGGGGCAGGGGTACAGCTGGGCGTCCCCTCAGACCACCCAACTCCCCCCAGTGGGCCTCAGGGGCAGGTGCTTTCAGAGAGACCCGAGCAGGCAGGGTCGGCCCCCTCGGTGCAGGAGGGACTCCTGGTGGACCCCAGCCCCGAGAACCACCTGCTGAGGGGGCGCTGCAGTACACTGACCCTGAGGTCTCAGTGAGGCCAGTCAGGGGAGGCTGCCTGAGGCTGGTCTTGGGTGGCCAAAGGGCCAGTGGATGTCCACCACCTGGACCCTAACCCCAGCCCCCTCCAACAGGCACCCGTGAGGATGGACATGGGCCAGGGGGGTGTGATGTCAGCCCAGGAGCTCGTGGCCGGCCTCTGCCGGAAGGGGGACCAGCACCTGGCCCTGGGGGACCCCCTCCTGGCCACGGCCTTCTACCTGGCTGCCTTCAGCTGCCACGCCCCCTCAGCCGTGCAGAGGCTACAAGGGGCACTGGCCGAGGCTCGGGGAGCACCTGTGGTGGCCACCCTGGAGGCCTGGTGCTGTGGGGACAGCCGAATCCCCACCATCCTCTGGGACGGCATGGCAGTGGTCTCCCTGACGGGGGCTCTGGCCTCTGCCTTTCTCGGTGCCCTCTGCCCTGACCACCCGGCGGCTGTCCTGCACTCACTGGCCGGGCTGCTGGCTCATGGGCGCCACAGGGAAGTGGCCCAGCGCTGCAGTGCCCTGCTGGACGCTCACTCCCAGCAGGCCCTGGAGCTGCAGCTGACCCGCGCCCTGGCCCGGGTCCTGTCTGGGGAGCAGGCAGGCGCCGGCGTGGCCGACTATCTCCAGGCCTTCGCCTCGAGCGCAGCCCGGACCGCGGCCTTCGTCCACACCCACCAGCGTCCCTACCTCCCCACGCTGCTCAGCACCCTCCGGGACCATGTCTCAGCACAGCCGCGGGCCACGGTCAGCGACGGCCAGCAAGAGGCTGACTGCCGGGGCCTCCTGGCTGCCCTGGACCCCGAGGGCACCTGGAGTGAGGTCCTGTCACCAGAAGCGCTGCTCCACGGTGGCAGGTATGAGGACTGCCTGGCCGCCTGCAGCAGGGCCCTGCAGTCGGACCCCGCGAGGGACAGACCCCAAGGTAGGGAGTCCTGGTCCCCGCGCGGATGCTGCCCCCTGGGTTAAGTCTGCCTGGGCGGGGGGGTGTTGTGCCAGGGCTGGGACTCCACAGGGACAAGACAGGCAGGACCTGGCCTTCCAGAGCACCCAGAAAAGGAACCAAGTGGAGCGTGCAGGCCCACTCCAGGCAGTGGTCAGAGCAGGCTTCCTGCGGGAGGGGCCTCGGAGCTGAGAGGGGCTCCAGGCAGCAGAAGCGGGGCATGAGGCGGCCCTGGGGAAGAGAGAGCTTGCACCTCACCACAAGGGGCCAGCGTGGCCGTCGGGGACGGGGAGCACGCAGACGGCAGCCATGGCCGAGCCCGCACTCTGAAGGACTGGTTTCACCCTCAGAGCCACCCAAGGGTGTCCAACGTAGAGTGAGAGGAGTTGCACGTTTCGCTTCTTTGGAGGTCGTGTGGGGTGTGCCGTAGGAGCTAAGGAGAGTGAAGAACCTGCAGGGAGGCTGGGAGGCTGGTCCAGGCAGGGAGGCTGGGAGGTCAGAGACTGGGAGGCTGGTCCAGGCAGAGAGGCTGGGAGGTAGGAGAACGGGAGGCTGGTCCAGGCAGAGAGGCTGGGAGGTAGGAGAACGGGAGGCTGGTCCAGGCAGAGAGGCTGGGAGGTAGGAGAACGGGAGGCTGGTCCAGGCAGAGAGGCTGGGAGGTAGGAGACTGGGAGGCTGGTCCAGGCAGAGAGGCTGGGAGGTAGGAGACTGGGAGGCTGGTCCAGGCAGAGAGGCTGGGAGGTAGGAGAACGGGAGGCTGGTCCAGGCAGAGAGGCTGGGAGGTAGGAGAACGGGAGGCTGGTCCAGGCAGAGAGGCTGGGAGGTCGGAGAATGGGAGGCAGTGACAGTCATCCCTAGGCTCTCGGGCAAGAGATGATGGATCTCAGGTCAGGGAGAAAGGTTGCAGCAAAGTGGTGGGTCTGAGAATCACTGACTTAGAAACAAGACTATGGACAGATTTAATGGTGGAGAGAGAGGAGTGGAGCAGGAGAGCCAAGAATCATTTAAGAGTTGGTTGAAAACTGGACCAGGGAGAGGAGGGGAGGAGCAGGTAGGAAAAGGGGTGTCATAAGTTCTAGACATTCTCAGTGTATTAGCCAGCTTTCTGTTACTATCACTAAACAGCTGAGATAATGCACCTACAAAGAGAAATGGTTCATTGTGGCTCATCATTTGAGGTTTGTTTGTGACTGATTGGCCTTGCAAACAAGGACATTTTCAAGACCGAGAGTGCACAGTGCCAAGGCTACTGGTGACCTCCACAAGGAGCGTATGGAAGAACCAGGTGGAAAGAACAGAAAAGTGAAAGAAAAGTTATTTCTGGAAATAACTTTTCTGAAATCCTCCACTGTAAGTTATCAGAAAATACTCAGTAAAGAGTCCTGGGCCTCTGGGAGAGTAGGGCCCTCGGCACCCAGAGCACAGCTCGCAGTGGCTGATGAATGAATGGGGGCATCAGCCACCCCAGGATGGAGGGGGCTCCCACCTGGGCCGTCATACATGGACAGGCACAGGGTGGTAGCTACAGCCTCTGGAATGTGTGTGCAGGAAACACCCAGCCCCGTCCAGGGCAGGCTTCCAAGAGCAGGGCCATGTCTGCCAGGGGGCTCCAGGAACCGCGGGCCAGTCGGCCCAAGTCACCCAGGGCAAGGGGGTCAGCCTCTCCAACACAGACATGCCTCAGGGGCAGAGGGAGCTCTCTCAGCTGCTTCCAATTGGGCCCCATTTCTTAAAGGCTCTGCCACCTTCCAGAGTGCCACAGGGTGGGGACACTTGGGCCTAAGAGGGGACAGAGGATCAGCCCATAGGCATGTGAGAAAGGCCCACTTAGACCCTCCCACTCAGTCCTGACAACAGATGGATATAGTCATGTGAGTGAGCCCAGGTAAGACCAACAGAAGAACTGCCCACATCAGCAGCTCAGCTCAAATTTAAAAAGAACCATGTGCCAATAAAAACAGCTGTTGTTTTCAGCCAAGTGCAGTAGCTAGGCCTATAATTCCAGAAACTCAGAAGCCTGAGGCAGGAGGATCACAAGTTCAAGGCCAACCTGGACAACCTAGCAAGGCCCTGTCTTGAAATAAAAGAAAATTTTAAAGGATGGGGGATGTAGCTCGGTGGTAAAATGCTCAGGTTCAACCCCAGTACAACCAGGGGGAAATCTGCTTATTGTTTTGAGCTGCCAAGTTTGGGGGTCGCTAGGTAATAGTGCTTAAAACTGATAAAACTTCTGAGTCAAAGCCTTTCCTTTGGACAGCGTAATTGTCCAAGTTGATGAGGTTTTGGGTGCTTTGACACAAGTACACAAGTGTTCTGACCCAATCAGGGTGACTAGCCTTGTCCTGTGCAAAAAAGTGAACTCTAGGTGGATCATATCAATAGCTAAATCTCAGTTTCTAAAAGAAAATGTCAGAGGATATAAACAAGAGCTCTGTGAACAGCCGGGTTTCTTTGGACACAAAAAGCGGAAATGGTAAAGAAAAATCGGACATATTTCATTAAATTAAAAACTGGAAACTTTTGTTTTGAAAATGGAAGGACAAGCCACAGAGAGGCTTGTGGCTTTCCAAGCAGACGATGGGCAAAGGTTCGGCATGCAGAGGATGTGGAGGACGCCTACCTATCCATCAGAAAGACCCAACAAGAGCTGCACAGGCCTTCCCCGAAGAGAGAACACAGATGGCTGATAATCCATGCAGAGCAGGCACCTCACAGTAATGAGAGCAAAGCAAACGGGAACAGCGAGAAGCAGGCCTCCTGCCTCCAGATCGGGGGGATTAATTAGTGAGTCTCACGAGTAATCAGGAAAATGAAAATTAAAACAACGGACAGATCATAAAAACTGTTAAGTACAGCAGAATCTGCTTCCAATAACATGGAATAGCTTCAGTGCACACGTGCCTCACAGATGACCATGACAGAACATCAAAGGCAACCGTTTGAAGGTGCAGCCGGGAGCCAGCTGACCCTGGAGGACTAGGGTGAGCCGGGAGACGCACACACTAAGGCTTTCTGCTTCGGGGCTCCTCGGCCCATGCATCCCGGCACAACAGCAAGCTGCAGTTTGATTGGTCTGAGATGACAAGGGACAGAGTTCAGAGCTGGGAAAAGGGGACTGGAGGAAACTCCCGAGACGGAGCCACAGAAGCAGGCAAGATCCAAAATGTGTCCATGCAATCCACTTAAGTCCTCGGCTGACCATTGACGTGCCATTCATGGGGAAGATGAGGTTGTCTGAAAGAGCAGCAGATGGAAGTGGAGATGTCAGGTCAGAGAGGAGGAGGTACAATTTGAAGTCTGAACCCAACCTGTTGCTAAAAACAAAATCCAGCCCCTTCAGAAGAACATAACTAAATCCAGCATCTCTATAACACCTTAATGGGATAACTAGCGTACAATTTAAAAAATACCAGATGGGGCTGGGGATGTAGGTCAGTGGTAGTATGTGTCTAGTCCCAGGCACTAAGGAGGCTGAAGTAGGAGAGCAGCCTGAGTCTGGGAGTTTGAGGCCAGCCTGGGCAACATAATGAGATCCTGGCTCAAACAACAGGAGAGGAGAGGAGGCGAAAAGAGAAAAGAGGAGAAGAGAGAAATAGAAATTCTAGAATTGAAAAATGCCATAACTGAAAAGAAAAATCATAGCATAATGGAATAGAAGGGTCAGCACAATCCAAGACAGACTATAAAACAGAAGAAAAATGAGCAGAGCCTCAGTGACCTACAAGGTGGTATACAGAAGGCTGCTGTGTATAACTGGAGCCTTGGAGGGGAGAGGCACGCTACCATGTGGGTAAGCAACAACTACTCTCCTCAGCCCCCAGGGCTCCCTCCAGCCGCAACGTCCTAGGGTCCATGAACTATTGCAGAAATCAGGGCTAGAGTTGCTTTAGTTCAAGCATCAGTGACCAACAGGAAAGGCCCCATTTCCTTTGCTTTGGCACCAGAACTGGACAGGGTGACCCCGCTGTTGGTTAGCCAGTCTTGGGGTGCAAGACGCTTTTTTCTTGGTTATGCTAACCCTGAGTTAAACCTCAGCCCTGTGAGTACGGACGGTAGCGATCCCCATCTGGACACAGGGATGGAGTATGGGCCTTATCATCTGTTATGGGCTGGATCTGAATGTCCCCAAAAGCTCAGTGTGTCAAAGGCTTGGTCCCCAGTGCAGTGAGGTCCAGAGCTGGGCATTGGGGTTGGATGGTGGGCTCCGACCTCAACGGGGCGTCATCCCTTGAGAGCTGAACGGACTACTGGGAGGAGGTAGCAGTGGAAGGCAGGAGGGACGTGGCTGGAGGGTGTTGGTCACTGGGGGCGTGCCCTGGGGCTTCACCTGCCCCACCATGCTGTGCCCCCCTGCCTCAGGCCACAGCAATGGGGTCGGATCATGGGACTGAAACCTCCAAAACTGGAGCTGGAATGAGTCTGTCCTCCCTGAAGTTATTTTTCTCAAGTATTTTGGTCACAGTGATGGAAAGTGACCCAGAGATGAGCCCCACCTAATAGTGCAGGGAAGGAACCTGAGACCTGGCCAGAGTCAGTCAGTGGCCCCAGTCTGCCTGCTCGGGGCCTCTGGGTGCCATTGCCTCTCTCCTGCACCTGGGGGAGATGGGCTTCATACAGGGAGTATCCAGTCCCAAGAGGCCCGAGAAGGCAGGACACCAAGACGTGTGTGCAACAGTGGCCACCGTGGTCAGAGCCTGAACGCCAGTGCTCACCTGGCAGGTGAGGAGGTCGCCAGTCCCTAAAGAGGACATTCAGTCCTAACTCCTTCACTCAGATCTCATGGGAGGCCAGGCACCGTGGCCACACGTCGAGTCCCAGGGACTGGGGTGGCTGAGGCAGGAGGATCCTAAGTTCAAGACCGGCCTCAGCAACTTGGCCAGATTCTGTCTCAAAAACTAAAGGGACTGGGAATGGAGTTGTGGCCGAGCACCCCAGGGCTCATTCTCGGTATGACCTTCCTGGCTGTGGCTTGGTTCCGAGCCTGCTGGTTGCTGTGGCACTTGGGCGCCTCCTGCCGGGCTGGTCTGGCAGTGCCACGCCCTGGGCTCCTGGGAGCCTGCAGGGAGACGCCCGAAGCAGAAAAGTACTTGGAGCGAGGGTCCAACGCTGCGCGGTAAGGGGCTGCTGCGGCGGGAGCTCCTCCAAACAGGGGCGCTTCTGTTTCTCTCCAGATGAGCGCCGGGCAGCCCTGCTGGTCACGCGCGCAGCGGCGGCCTTCTTCCTGGGTGGCCGAACCCACGACGTGCTGCAGGACCTGCACCAGGCCTTCCGCGAGAGCCCGTCCGCGGCGCGGAGGCAACTCCAGGCGGTGCTCTCAGCCACAGACCAAGAACGCATCCGAGTCCAGGCTCAGGAGACCGCGGACGTGGGCTTCGCCCACTTCCAGGAGGCTGTCCGGAGTCGCCCCCAGCTCCGCGAGGACGCGGGACGTGAGCTGCTGGTCCCGGTCACCCACGCGCTCCGCCTCCTGCTTCGCTTGGAGCCCGCAGGGCAGCGAACTGTGCTGGGCACCCGCCTGGCGGAGTGCCTGCTGCTGGCTGGGGACGTGGCAGGAGCTCGGGCGCTGTGCGAGCGCCTCCTGAGGCCCAGGCACCCCGGAGAGCTTGCTGGGGACAGTGCGCCCCTGAGGGCGCTGCGTGGCTTCTGCGCGCTGCACGTGGGCGACACCCACGGCGCCAAGGAGGACTTCCAGGCGGTGGTGGAGCAGGGGGCGCCGCATCCCGGCGGCTGTGTTCGGGCGCTGTGCGGCCGTGGGCTGCTGCGGGTGCTGGCCGGCAGCGCCTTCCTGGGGGCGCTGGATTATGTCACTGCGTGCCGGCTGCAGCCCGAGGAGGCGCTGATGGCCGCCAAGGCCTACGTGCCCTGGAACCAGCGCGGACTGCTGCTGACCGTGCTGCGGGAGGAAGGCCGCAGGATGCTGCTGCGCGGGTGTGGCCCCGGCCCTGCGGACGTGCCCTCCTGCAGGAGCAGAGCTGCTGAGATGGACGGCCCTGTGGCACAGGAAGGGTGAGAGCTGGCCCCGCCCAAGAGGGGGCTGCCGCTCCATTCGGGTCTCCTGGGAGGTAGAGGGTGTTCCTGTTTACAGGTGAGTAAAGCCAGGCAGCATGTCTGGGAGGTTTCCCTGAGCATCCGGGACGATTCAGCCCCAGATCTGAGCTTAGGGTCTCAGTCTGTGAGCATCCTGCACTGTGGGCTTCCTGTCCCTAGGAAATCAGAGACTCAGACATGGAAAGGAAACAGTAAAACTCAACGCGTCAGCCCGCTGCCGGCATTTCTGTCTAGAGGTTTCTTTTTGTGCATATACAACACATCTGTGCGATGAATGTAGTTTGTAGTCTACTTTCTTGCTCCAATAGATCATGAAAGTCCTTTGTTGGTAAAAACGCCTCCAGGCAGCAGTGTGCGGTCCTGAGGCTGCTGGCTAGTACTCCTTCCTTCAGCCCCGGGTCCTTTGCTCTCGGTCGTAAGGCATGGTGGGAACATCCTGTGTCCACCACGTCTCCTCCTTCAGTGGAGAGTGGAGCTCCTGGTGGAGAGCAGCCCCGGGGCAGGGTCCTGGACCTCTGAGCTCCCTGCCCTGCCCACCCGGCACAGCCCCCACCCCTGCCCTGGGGCTTCCTGCACAATCCTTGCTAACCGAGCAGACACCAGCCTCTAGCTGCTCCAGTGTGCACTCTGGTGGGTCACTGGGAGGTGGGAGAAGGCAGCGAAGTGAACAGCCTCCAGACAGGGGCCTCGGCCCATCACTGCAGCCACCCAATGCCGGCCTCTCCTCCAGGCCTCATTTGACGTGTGCTTGCACTTGCTGGTGGGGAGGAAGGGTTACCAGCAGGTTGACTTTGGCTGTGCCGATGAAGAAAGGACCTAGAACTTACCACAGCTGAGCTTCTCCCCGAGGGTCCACTCAAGTCCCAGGCTCCGGCCTCTTCTGGAGTGGAAGTTCAGGACGTTCCCATGTGGACACCAGGAACATCCCAAGTGCATCCTGCCTGCCAACAGCTCACCCTTGAGCCCAGCAGGGCCAAATTGTTAACCCACATTTTTGCAGAAAAGGAAATCCTGAGGTCTACTCAGGGTCAGTGCTACTACTGACCGTTACGTGAACTCACCCTTCCTGTGCCACAGTGCCTACCCGTGGGGTGATGGGAAGACCCGGAGGGAGGGTGAGGGCTGAGGGGCATGCTGGAAACAGCAGCATGGACTTAGGTACAGTGTGGTGTGAGGGTCATTCCTCAGCTCCACCCTGCCCTGGCCACACAGCAGACAGTGGGCTGCGAGCTGGCCCAACCTGCTGAGCAGCTGGGCAGGGCATAGGGAAGGGGCTGGTCCACCCTGAGCCACTCTTTCCACAGGGATGCCCATGGCGTGTACCAGCTGGCCACGATGCTGATGGAGCTGGACGTGGAGGACGAGAACTCACAACTCCTGGCAGCCGATGCCCTTTACCGCCTGGGCCGCCTGGACGATGCCCACAAATCTCTGCTGGTGGCCCTCTCCCGGAGACCCCAGGCAACCCCCGTGCTGGCACGGCTGGCCCTGCTACAGCTGCGTAGGGGCTTCTCTTACGATGCCAACCAGGTGAGAAGGCTCAGGTGCACTACTGCAGGGCAGGTGGAAATGGGCACAGCTCTGCGGAGGGCAGCAGGCCTCCTGTGGACCCCGCTCAGCACCTACAGCCTGAAAACCTTGTTCAGCCCCAGCTCTGCTTCCTGCAGCCCCTCTTACCTCTCTGACATCAGTCTGTTCATCTATGCCCTGGTCCTGCAGGTTGTCTTGGTAATTAGCTGGAACAGGTACCCTAAGGCCTGGCAGGTTGGCTTTGGCTGTGGTTATGAAGAAAGGACCTAGAACTTATCAGAGCTGAGCTTCTCCCCGAGGGTCCCACACAGGCTAAGCTTGGACATGGTCCTGTTGAGGTGGAGGGGCAGGGAAGGGACCCAGGCCTTCAGCCCCTGCCTGCCTTCCTGCCTCCAAGACCCCTCTGCTCCTGGGGTGGCAGAGCCTCTCCTGCCTCCCTGTTGTGGAGGCTCCTGCTTGGGCCAGAGGCAGCTGGTGATGTTGAGGAGGGCTTCAAACTCTGGAGTCCAGGAGGAGGCACCTGCCAGCCGCTTTCTGCTCCTGTGCTGGTTTGGAATCCTGACCCCCTTGCCCTGGGCAGAGAGTAGGAGGGAGGGACACCCTGGAACTTGCTATCCTTCCACCCTGCCCTGGGGCCAGTGTCTGCACCAGAGGCCAGAAGGGGGCAGTATTGGGTCTCCTCGGGCAGAGCCCCGGAGGGAGAGGTTGTGTCTGCCTGGGGTTTTGCACTGCCCAGAGCACAGCTGACCCTGCCTGGCCCGCCCTGGATTCTTCTCCACACCTCTGGAGTGGCTCCCTGAGCCTCTGATGGCTCGAAACCCCTTCCTGGTCAGGCCTCCTCCAGGAGGCTCATGGAGGTGGGCTCTCCCCCCATGGTCAGAGGAGGTCCAGGCTCAGGTACGTGAGGGCTCCACCCTGCCCTGGCCACATGGCCGACAGGGGGCTGCGAGTGCAGCTGGAGCCCCCTCGTTCCTCCCACCCTGGCCCTGTGGTCCACTGGGGACCAGACCCTGCGTCGGGGAGCCCCGCCCCTACCAGATGGGGAGACAGGCAGAGAGGCCCCTGGGCTGGAGGAGACGGGGCCTGGTGGGCAGGGCGTGCTGGCCATGGGGCAGTGAGCAGGAGCCAGAGGCAGGCGGTGGTGGCAGCGACTCTCTCGGGCCCCAGCAGCTGGTGAAGAAGGTGGTCCACTCTGGGGACACAGCCTGCCTGCAGCCCACCCTGGACGTCTTTCGTCACGAGGACCGGCTGCTGCTGCAAAGCCACTGCCACACACGGGCCCTGAGCATCCTGCGAGCGAAGCCGAGCGGGGTGGACAGGGAGGCCCACACCAGGGAGGCCATCGCCTACCTCTCTCTGGCCATCTTCGCTGCGGGTAGGAGAACCCTTCCTGCCCAGGGGTCCAATCCTGTGCCAGCTACACGGGGGACACAGGGCTGAGGACAGCTTGCTTCCCAGGTCCATGGGCCCTGGGAGCCCCTGTGGGATGGACAGTGGGGCCGCTCACTGAGAACATGCCATGGCCCAGGAAGGGTCTGGGCCAGCTGGGGCCTGAGCTGTGCCCTGCCTGGCTCCTGGGCTGCTGTCCATGCTGTCTCGGCCCCGGGATGAGCAGACCCTTTCCCAGCTCCTCCTCTCCCTCCAGTGAGGGGACCCGAGATGCTGGCTCCCCTGAGACCTCCCAGAAATAGTGCCTGAGGCTTCAGGTGCCCACACAGTCTCCAAGAGGCCAAGCTGCCCACCCGGGGGCTAGGCACGGGGATGCTGCTGCCCTGCATTGGCCCCAGGTATAGGCAGGCCCTGTGCGTCTCAGAGTGGGGTGTTCGGTGCTGTGTGGGGCACGAGGCTCAGAGGAGGGAGGGTCTCTCTCAGGCTCACGGCAGGCTCCTGGGTGCAGGGCGCTGGTACAGACCCCCGGTCAGACTGCAGGGGCTTCCGCCTGCCCTCGAGCAGGTGCCAGCAAGCCTGCGGGGAAGGGACAGGCTGAGAGCAGCCTCAGGCCCAAGTCGCTCTCCCCTGCATCTGGCGCTGGACAGACACCCAGAAGTGGGTGGTGGTGGTTCCTCTCTGGGGAGGGCCTCCTCCTCCTGGCGGGTGCAGGCTCCTCCTCTCTGCCGCCCAGAGCCTCACACCCTCCCCAGCCACCCCGGGAATCCCCGTCCCCCTCGCCTGGCCTCACTTCAGAGACAGGGCAGTGCCCCTGCCTCTTCAAGGTCCCTCAGTGTCCACCAGTCCTCCCAGATGCCGCCCTCCTAGAGGGCTCCCTCCCCCTGCTGCCCAGTGGAGTGTGAGCTCCCCACAGTGGACCCCCCAGTCTGGGCACCAGGAGGGACACTGGACAAGTGGCCAGCCACAGCTATGTCCTAACCATGCCCACTTCCTACAGGGACGGAGGCCAGTGAGTCCCTACTCGTCCGAGCCCGCTGCTATGGGCTCCTCGGCCAGAAGAAGACCGCTGTGTTTGACTTCAACTCCGTGCTGCGGGCCAGGCCGGGGAATGTGCAGGCTCTGTGTGGACGGGCCCTCGTGTACCTGGCCCTGGACCAGCTGCAGGTGCCGGGCCACTCTCCCCTCTGGGGCCGGGCAGGTGGGGCAGGGAGGCCAGGGCAGTGCCTTCCTCCTGCACCCAAGGAGTGCCAGCAGGGCCAGGTGTCATGAGCCGTGACGTGCCATCAGAACCCCCTCCTCCTCACCTGCACTGCAGGCCGTAGGAGCCGCACCCCACAGGTCCACCTCCAGGGAGCCCCACTCTTCCACGACTCCTGCACGGACACGTGTGCAAGCCCTAAGGGTTGGTGGAGCCTCCCCAGCTTAAAATAGTTCCATAACGGCTGCAGGTGTCCCTCTACAGGGGTGTAGGCCACGAGGGGTCCCCTCCACTGCACAGTCTGCTGCACAGAGCCCCGTGTTAAAAAGGATTTACAGGACGGGTGCAGAAGGAGTAAGTCCTGTCTGCCGTGGGTGCAGCCAGCAGAGCCCTTGGAACTTTGATCTGACCTAAATTACCTGCTTTTTAGGAGAGAAATGATATACTTAAGACCTTCTGCAGAAACTGCTCCAATTCAGGATAAAATGTTGGGAGCCAGGCGGACAGGAGGAGAGGTCTGGCTCACACCAGCAGCCGTGTGCTGGAAGACACTTTCTGCTTGTTGCTTTGTGGACACTCCTTGTTTGCACACTCCCTGTGTGTGCGGAAGGGCACCCTCTGGGGTCTGCTTCTGGGCAGGGGTGTTGGGTCGAGGGTCGGATAGGCAGCCTCAGGCCGATCGCTCTGCCTCTCGCGCCCAGTTTGCCCTCTGTAGAAGTGGGGAGCTAAGGAATCACCAGGGGCTCAGGAAGCACTCGGGGATGGATGGAGATGAAATCACAGTGCACCAGACACACGGGACAACGCAGGCAGGACCAAGGGACGTTCACGGCCACAGCGGTGCACATTACAAGACAAAGATCCCAAGTCACCAATCCTACGATTTAGGGAACACTGAACCCAAAGCAGGCAGAAAGAAAGAAAGGAGGAAGGTTAGAGATAAAGTTAAGACTAGAGAAACAATAGAGAAAATTGATGAAACCCAAAGTCGATCCCTCAGAAAAGTCAAAGCGGACAAACCATTAGCTGGATGGACTTAAAAAGAGAAGAGACTGTAGTCCCAGCGACTCAGGAGGGTGGCAAGTTCAGGGCCAGGCTCAGCAGCTTAGCAAGGCCCTGTCTCAAATAAAAATAAAAAATGTTAAAGGGCTGGGGATTCGGCTCAGTGGTAAGAGCCCTTGGGTTCAATCCCTGGTGAGAGAGAGAGAGAGAGAGAGAGAGAACTCGGATCTCTAAGCCAGCACTGAGGTGGGTCATGAGCACCAGTCCTACAGGAGGGAGCCGGAGGAGCTGCTCGGCAGGACAGCCGACAAGCAGGTGGACAGAGCAAGAGGGTCCGGAAGAAACTGAAAAGCCTAGGGACACCCAGGTACTGACGAGGCTGGGCCAGTCGCCGGACGAGTGTGCAAGGCCCCCGGGGAGTCTCTGAACAGTCAGAGACTCAACACCAACTCTTCTCAACTTTTCACAAAAAACAAAGAAGAAGAGGGAGAAGTTCCTAAGTCACCCAGAGGCCAGCGACACCCAACCCCAAGACCAGGCCCACAGTACGGGGAAACCCGAGGAGTGCCCTGACGCACACCAGGGTCAACGACCTCAGCAGAACAGCAGAAAGTCGGCCGTGTGCCAGGAGGTCCCACATGCAGTCCCCCCCAGGGTCCCCGCATTAGCAGAACACAGGAAGCAGGAGGTGACCCACGGAGCAGGAGCAGTACAGGGCGGAATCCAGCCGCTTGTGTTGAAAACTGCCAGCGGAGCAAGGTGGAAGGAAGGACCAGAGCCCGTGTGGGAGCCCACAGCGGACGTCTCACCAGACGGAGGGCTTTCCTCAAGGGGAGCGGCAGCAAGGCCACCTCCACCCCGCCCAGCGCTGACACGCAGGTCAGCTGCCGAGAGGGAGGAGTCCCCCAGAATCTACCAGCAGTCACAGGATTCAGGAAAACGGCAGGCCACCAGGTGGACCCCCGGACCCCAGAGTGATTCACACTCACGGCACAACCTGAGAGGACATTCAGAAAGCGTCTCAATGACAAGCGCATCCGATGACGAAATATTTAGGTCAACCCCTCAGGAAGTCAAGGATGCATAGGGTGGCAACTAGGGCACATGGCCAAAAGAAAGTGACAGATCAGAGTGTTTCACGTTGTCACCAAGTCTGTGTCACCCTGTAGGCAGGAGCGCTCAATGCAGACTCGGTGCAGTCCCTACCAAAATCCCCATGAGGGACTTGGGCGGGGCTCCGTGGTGGAGCGCTTGCCTAGCTCAGTGAGGCACTGGGTTCAATTCTCTGCACCACAAAAAAAAAAAAAAAAAAAAGATACATAAAGATATTATGTTGCCAGGTGCGGTGACCACGCCTATTATCCCAGCAGCTCAGGAGGCTGAGACAGGAGGATTGCGAGTCCAAACCCAGCCTCAGCAAAAGCAAGGCACTAAGCAACTCAGTAAGACCCTGTCTCTAAATAAATGCAGTACAAAGTAGGGCTGGGGACATGGCTCAGTTGTTTACTGCCCCTGAGTTCAATCCCCGGGACTAAAAAAAAAAAAAAAAAAAGATCGTGTCCATCTACAACTAAATTGTATATTTAAAAAAAAATGGTTTTTTATGGAAATAGAAAAACTCCCCCCAGAACTCATATGGAGCCTCAAGGGACTCCAAATACGCAAAACAGTTTAGAAAAAGAACAAAGCTGGGGCCTTAGACCCTGCTCTCTCAGTCACGGTGAGCATCGCAGTGTGCTGCTGGCATGAGCCCCCGTGTCTGCAGGGCCAATGGAACGAGAGCCCAGAAATAACCCTCCACCCGTGTGGGCAGGCGACTTTTGTCAAGCCAAGACCAGCGGGGGAAGAAAACTATTCTCAATACACGATGCTGGGGAAACTGCATCCACATAAAATGCATCTGGACCCTCATCTCACACCATACGCAAAAAGTAACTCAAAATGGATAAAAAGTCCAAATGTAGTCATGCCTATCACCCCAGCAATTCAGGAGGCCGAGGCAGGAGGACGGCAAGTTTGAGGCCAGCCTCAGCAATTTAGCAAGACCCTGTCTCAAAAAATTAAGTAAATAAAAAGGGCTGAGGCTGCAGCTCGGTGATAAAGTGCCCCTGGGTTCAATCCCAGGATGGAAAAAAAAAAAAAAAAAACAACTAACCATAAGACCTCAAACTTCAGAACTGTTAGACGGACACATGGGAAAAGCTTCACGACTTTAGATTTGGCCAGTTTCTTAGATGGACACCAAACCAGGCAACAAAAGAAAAAGTAGACCAATGAGACTTCAGGAATCCTGAGCACCGTCGTGCATCAAGGCACCGAGCCTACGAGCAGGTCACCAGGCAACCCCCGGCCAGGCCTGCCACCGACGCACCAAGCAGCCCAGCTCACAGGGGCCAAGGGCTTGAACGGAACTGCCCATAGGGCCAAGAAGCCCAGGAAAAGACGTCCAGCGTCACCGTCCTCAGGGAAACGCTCAGTAAGCTAAGGGATGCCACCATGCACCCGTCAGGAGGGTAACAGTCAAGATTCTGAAGTGACCGGTGTGGTTGGGGAAACTAGCCTTGTGGAACTGTTGGCAGGAGTGCTCAATGGCTGGGCCACCAGGAAGAAGACCACTGGTGCTGACGCTGGAGCATCACGCCTCACGGAGAGCCCTGGTGGCCACTGATGGAGGAACGGAAAAGCAGAACAGTCCACCACTTGAGGGAATATTATTCAGCCCCCAAAAAAGGAAGGGGATTCTGACACACACTGCAGCAGATGAGGCTTGAGGACGGGGCACTCGGTGCAGGAAGCCAGCCAGAGACGAGGCCCTGAGGGAGGCACTCCTGGGAGTCCCTGCAGTAGGCACAGTCATGGGGACAGAAGCAAGAGGAAGGACTGAGCAGGGGCCGGGCCAGGAGTCCTCCTCAGTCTGCAGGGACGCTGCGTGAGGCCTGCACTGCACATGCCCAGAGCACGGCAGAAGCAGAGGTCACCTGCGCTGGGCCCACAGCTGAGCCGTGGCCAGGGCCAGGCAGGGCTGGGGATGCTGGAGTCAGCCTGCTCTACCCAAGAGCAAAGCCACACCTGGCCAGACCAGAATGGCCCCTCCCCGGGTGACGGAAATGTCCACCAGAACAGAACCAGCACCGCCCAGCCCCAGAGCACAGGTCGAGAGCACGGGCCGCAGAGACCCAGGAAAGTGTGACGCCACCAGCAAAGCGCTGCTCAGCAGAAACAGGCCCTGGGCAGCTCCAGGCTTGGAAGGCACTGCAGGCGCCCAGAGCAGGGCCGCGAGCACGGGAAGGGGTGAGCCAGAGCCCAAGGCCCCAGCCTGGCTTAAGGGCAGTGGGAGGCCTCCAAAGAAGGGCCTGTGAGGAGGGCCCCTGAGGCCCAGTGGGGAGGCGGTGTCTAGAAGGAGTGCTCCAGGGGCCCTGAGGCCACGACCAAGCCGGCTCCACCCTGGACTCCCAGAGGAGCGGAGAGAGAGGGGCGGACACGCTCCCAAGGAGCAGGGACAGGGACCTCGAGACAGAGAGCCCACGAGGCCCGCGAGGTCCTTTCCGAAGGCAAAGGAAGAGGCAGCAGCTCAGGAGCGGCCGCGGGGAAAGCAGCCCCAGTTGGTGGCGTCCAGCCTCTGGGGAGGCGAATCCCGCGGGAGCCAGAGCCCTCGGAACCACCCCTGAGTCACGCAGCTGCCCACTGCAGGAGGAGGCGCCCGCGGGGCCCGGTCCTCATTGGTACCCTCGACAAGCAGATGAATGGGATCCTCTGACTGTGATGGCTCAGGAAGATGGCGCCAAAGAGCTCCAAGCCCCAGCAGGGAAGGGCCTTGGTCTGGCGCTGCCGCGGGGCGGAGCCTAGTCTCCACCACAGCAGGGGACCTCCTCCCAGATACCGCACTGCTGAGTGCCACCTGCTGGAGTGCTGGGCCAGGAGCTGGGGGGGCTGCTGGCAGTGAATCCGCTGTGTCCCCACACCCCGGCTCTGGCAGGTCTTGCGCACCCATCCGTGGGGTGGGTGGGCCATCCCGACGGGTGACAGCCCCGCAGGGAAGAGGCACTGTTGCAGCCACTGCCAGGATTGCAGGGCTCCAACCCGGTACCCACCAGGCCGTGGGGTACCCCACTGCCTACGGGCCGAGGGGCATGACAGGCCCGCTTCCTGGTATGAGGCCTTCCGTGGGCCCCCAGTGGGGAGTCTCCCTGCACGAGGGACCCCGAGGGGCATGCCCCCTCCAGGAACGCCGCCCAGGTACAGGGACCACCCCCCCGGGAACGTGCCCACCAAGGCCCTGGACTCATGGTGACCTCCTCCGCTCCCTGCCTGATTCCTGAAAGGCTGAACGTAGCCCTTCCATTCCCTTGTGGCCTGAGACGCGTTTGTGACCAACTCTCCAGAGTATCGTAAGGAAAAGAAAAAGAAACAGCCCTCGGGGTGCAGAAGGGGACACCATCCCTGAAGCCTGTCCCAGGAGCCTCAGAAGCCACCACCAAGAGCTCCTACACACGTGGACACGCCGTGCGGGAGGTCAGCAGCGTGGCAGGGGAGGGGACTCGCCTTCGTGGCCCGCTGCCTGTGGAGCACCTTGAGGACGTGGGATCCGCGGAGCGAATGCCGACAACAGGACAAAGGGCACAGCCCCGAGGTCAACAGAGGGACAAAAAGGGGATACTGAAAATACTCAGTTAACCCGACAGATCAGGAGGGGAGACAGAGGCCCCAGGACAGGGCAACTGGGGAAAGACCGAGGAAGATGGCCGGCCAGGACAGGAGCAGGTGGCTTAGCATCTACTCATCAAGGCCCTCCCACAAGGCCTGGCCTCCGCCTGGCCTCCTGGCCTCCGGCCCTGGGCAGGGAGGCCTACATCTCAACAGCAAGCCCAACCCTCCGCTTTCCTCCCTGTGTCTTGCTGCCCCTGGGGCACCAGCCAAGCCCACCTCTGTCCCACGCCCTCGGAGGGAGCCTTCCTGTGCCCCACACCAAGCCTCCCTTCCCAGAACCCCGGGGCACTTGCCAAACTGGGCTTCTGCCCCTGGGGTGCCATGGCCCAGGCTCTGAGGAGCATATGCCCGAAACCCGCCAACTCCAGAATCACCCGCTGGGAGGGAGCTACCCAGAGAGGGTGCCACCGACCTCGGGCAGGTCGGGGGGCTGAACTTGGAGGACTGATGGGCAGGTGCAGGGTCTGGCCTCAAAAGGGGGTCAGGGCTGGTAACTGTGGGGGATGAAAGCCAGTGAGCTGGGTCCTTCAGATGCCCAACCAAAACTGGGCTGGCGCATGAGGCTGCAGCCATGGACGGCAGGGAAGGGCAGTGAGCTGGCGGGCAGACCCTGTAGGACCCCGGGAGAGGACCCGAGGCCCAAGAACAGGGATGTCCCTCCCGGCTGGGATGACTCCTGAGCCAGGCTTGCAGGACGCCGTCGACTCTCCCCTTGCAGGACGCCGTCGACGACGTTATCTCTGCCCTGCGACTCGACCCAGGGACCGTGGTCCCCGAGATCCGCTCTCTGAGGCCGGAAGCTCGGGTGCCACTTACCCAGGGCCTCCACTCCCGCTGCCGGGCCCTCCTGAGCCAGACTCTGGACATGGGGGTCTCCCTTGGGGACGAGGACACCCAGGGCCTCCTGGCAGTGGGACAGGCGCTGACCAGAATCGATGCCACTCAGCCCAGCTGGCACCTCCTCCTAGTGGACACACTCCTGGTGCTGGGTACGTGTCGGCCAGGAGTGGGGGACACAGACGTCTGTCCCACACCCCTGACCTGCTCTGTTCTTCTCTGTGAAACAGAAGAGCCATGGACGGCACTGGTCCTGAGGCCCCTTCACCCCAACTCCACGGCCTCAGCGCCCTCTGGGCCCGTCTGTGGGCGGGGCTCCCTCTCACCTGACCCTCTGGGCCCATCTGTGGGCGGGGCTCCCTCTCACCTGACCCTCTGGGCCCGTCTGTGGGCGGGGCTCCCTCTCACCTGACCCTCTGGGCCCGTCTGTGGGCGGGGCTCCCTCTCACCTGACCCTCTGGGCCCGTCTGTGGGCGGGGCTCCCTCTCACCTGACCCTCTGGGCCCATCAGTGGGCGGGGCTCCCTCTCACCTGACCCTCTGGGCCCGTCTGTGGGCGGGGCTCCCTCTCACCTGACCCTCTGGGCCCGTCTGTGGGCGGGGCTCCCTCTCACCTGACCCTCTGGGCCCATCAGTGGGCGGGGCTCCCTCTCACCTGACCCTCTGGGCCCGTCTGTGGGCGGGGCTCCCTCTCACCTGACCCTCTGGGCCCGTCTGTGGGCCTCTCACAAGGAACCCTCCTGCCCCACACACTCATGCTGCATGAAGCAGGGATCCACTGTGGTCCAGAGGAGGTCGGCCCCTTCCTGGCCCATGTGTGCCGACTCCACCTCACCCTGACGCTCGCCCCTACCTGAAGGGTGCTCTTGGCGCCCGCCTTTGCCCTCCAAGGGCTTCCGGGGCTTCTCCCCACCTCCTGCTGCTCACACCCACGTGCTCTGCTCCCCTGGCCCAGCCTTGCCCGAGGGCCTCAGGAGAGAAGGCCATCCCTGTGGTGACCTCCAGGAGGGCAGTCAGAGCCCTGCTGCCCCACCAGGGGTCATGCAGCGGGGGCAAGGGTGGGTCTGCAGGTGGGTCCATGCAGCCTGGATGTGCTCCCCGTGTGCAGCTCCCCGCTCTGTCCTCGGGCCGAGTCTGTCCCTCAGCTGCCCCTGCCAGCATGGAGCAGGGAAGGCATGTCTCACAGCCTGTGCGCTCCTCGTCCCCAGCCACAGCCCTCACTGTCCTTCCTGGATCCACAGGCAGCTATGAGGAGGCCAGTGCTCCCCTGCAGGAAGCCCTGTGCTCCACACGCCCACCGGAGGCGGCCCGGGCCCGGAGAGGCCTGCTCCAGCTCAAGAAGGGAGCTGTCCCCGCTGCCGTCCAGGACCTGCAGTGTCTGGCCGAGGCGGACGCCCAGGACCTGCGTTTCCTGCTGCAGCTCCTGGCGGCCTCGGAGCGGCACAGCGTGGCCCAGGTGTGCACAGATCCCCCGGCAGCCACACTGGCCCCTCCACACAGCACGGCTGAGACCCTGGGCCACCACAGGGCACTGTCCTCTCCCCACTGCTGGGTTGGTTCCAGCTGGATGGGGTGAGGTGTGAGTAGGAGGTGCCGGGTCTTGCCCTGAAGACGGGCCTCTGCCCACCTTGGCACCACAATTGCCCACCTTGGCACCACCTTGCCCACGCACAACCCCATAGCCTCTGGGCATCTCTGCCTGGGGTGCAAAAGTACAGGTGACGGGGTGGAAAGGGGAGGACCCTCCCAGAGTTGGGCTGAGTCAGCAAGGGGCTTCCTCCAGGCCAGAAGCCCATCCCAGAGGCCAGCCCGGTCAGGGTCAGGAGGGCACCACAGGTGGGGAGGCCAGGACCACAGGCTTTGAGCTTTGGAGTCAGAGACCAAGGTCACATCCCAGCACCTGAGTGTGCTTCCCAGAGCTTCCCGAAAGGCTGGCCTGCAGCGCACCTTACTCCCCAGGTCCAGGGGAGCCGCGGAAGGCCACTGGGCCAGCAGGTTCACTGTGAAGTGTCCTGTGATTTCTGTCCCTAGCTGACTGAAGAAGCAGGGTCAGTGGAGAAGAGGAGGCATGGGGCAGCTTCCCAGTGTGGTCCTCAGCTCAGAAAGGAAACTGCCTGGGGGCGGCAGGCCTAGCCAGCAATGACCGCCAGTCTAGCAGTCCAGAAAGGAGGGTTAAGGTGGACATGCTCACTAGCTGGCCTCTGGCCCACCCAGGTGCCCCCAGGGCCAGGGATGAGTCCAGCACACAGCAAACCCAGTGCGTGGACATCCAGGGGCCTGCACCATGCTAGGGAGAGCCGAGGGAGGACAGGTTGGCAGCATGTTTGGTCCCCAACCTTGACTTTGGTGCAGGGACTGCAACAAGAGGGAGCCAGTTTGTGCACAGCTGGCCCTCCCCTCCTGACCTTGGGAGGAGCTGCACCCAGGACCTGGGCTGGGCAGAGGGCAGCTCGGCTCCTGTCCTAAGGGTCCTGGCAGCTCAGCAGGTGGTGGGGCCAAGCAGCAGCCCCTGGAGGGCCCACAGAGGTGGTTCTGAAGATCACCAGAGGCCTGCCAGGAGGTGGGGCTGTAAGGCTCCCGAGGGAGGACAGGAGATGCCGGTGTCCCAGCAAGAGTGGCGGCTGAGGAGGACACTTACAGACACTGGCAGCCTGAGCTGGGCCGAGCCGATTCCAGGACAGGGAGTGGCAGGGAGGCCCTTTACCCAGGCGCTGGCCCCCTCCCAAGGCCAGCAGCCTCGGCAGGGCTGACCCTGTACTCCCTACGCCCCTGTGTGTCCTCTGCAGGCAGCAGCCCAGGAAGCCAGCACCCTCCTGGACACAGGGCACCCCAGGCGGGCGCTGGGCTACTGCTCATTGGCTGTCCTGGCTGGTGGTGGCAGGACCTGCCACCTGCGTCTACGGGCTGCCTGCCTGGCTGAGCTGCGGGAAGTTGACCGGGCACTCCAGGACCTGGACCACGTGATCCGGGAGGGAGCCGGGGACGGGGACTTGGCAAGGCGAGCCGAGGACTTCAGCTCCCGGGGCCGCCTGCTGCTGAGCCTGGGCGACGAGGAGGGCGCCAAGGGGGCCTTCGCCCAGGCCCTCGAGCTGTCACCGGCCCTGGAGCAGAGCCGCCTGTGGGCGCAGCCGGGCCAGGCCCCCAGGGCCAGCATGTTCCTGCGTCTGGGCCAGTGCTGCCTGGAGGAGCAGCGCTACGGGGAGGCCCCGACGGGCCCCCAGAGTGGCCTCTTGGTGAACCCCCACCACGGCCGCCTGAGGAGGCTGAAGGCTCGAACCCAGAGGGAGACAGCCTCTGGCTGCCGGCTGCTCTGACCAGCGCTGCCCTCTCCCAGGCCCCCTCCCTGGGCACCTGCCTTTCTCACTGGGAGCGCCCCAGCTGCCTGGACCGGTGCCCTGCCACCTGCCCGGCCCTCAGGTGCCTCCCATCTTCACGGAGGTGTCGGCCTCCCACCAAGCTCGGGTCCCTTGGCAAACAGCTGGGGCTCTGGCCTCCACGCGGCCTCAGGTCTGGTCCTCCACTTGGGATCTGCAGGTTTCCTGCTCCACCTTCGCTTCCTTCCTGATTTTCCAGGGTTTCCCACTGTGTCGCTCCCTGCCCAGCCATCCCCATCCATCGGTCGGTCTGTCCATCTGTCCACTCACTGGCTCAACAAATATTTGCATCCCCAGCTGGGGTGGGCCAGGTTCAGGAGTTCCGGAAGCCCCAGGGGTGGCAGCAGGTACCTCTGCTCCCACTGCCCTCCCGACCTGGGGCCTCCTGCCCCATCTGTTCATTGAGGACATCTCCACGGAGTGTGCATGTACCTAAATCCAGGGGGACCCCTGCCGCCCACTCCTGCTGTCCCCCAGCCCCGCAGGGATAGCCCCTACAGGCCCCGGTTCACCTCACAGGGGTCTCAGTCCGTCTTGCTTGCCTGGCACCTTGGTATGGCCTGAGTGTCCCCAGAGTTCATAAGCTGAGACCCTAAGCCCCACTGGGATGGCGCCAGGAGGTGGGTCCTGGGGGAGGTGGTGAGGTGCTGGGAACAGGGCCCTGGGGATTCAAACAAACACGGCCTGAAGCCCCCCACCCGTTCCCACATGAGGCCAGTGGGAAGGCAACTCTGTGAGCCAGGTCCTCCCCTGAATCTGCTGGCACCTTGACCTTGGACTCCCACCTCCAGAGCTGTGAGAAACACGTTTCACCAGCCGCTCAGCGGTAGGCTGTTTCTCATGCTGGCCTGAACACGCTGAGACACCCCTGCTCCTGTACCCACCTCCAGCCTGAGAGCAGGCTGCTGGCCCCGGAGGACTAGGCCGAGTCTTGGTCCCTATGGGGCCCCAGCCCAGGCTTTATGCGGGGAGGGGGCTGCTCCAGGCCTGAGCAGCCCACAGCCAATCTGAGACTTGGGCTGAGGACCAGGAAGCCAGCCTGTGTCCCCCAGGTCTGGGCCTGCTGCCTGGGGGCTTCTCCAGCATGTCAAGTCCACCCTCCTCCCTGGCGACCCCTGACCTGTCTCCCAGGTCCCCGGCCCCTCACTGCTCAGCTGGAGGCTGAGACAGGCCTGAATGTGCCCTCCCAGGGCCGCCCAGTTCAGCTCTTCCTCTACTCGGGACTTCTGCCCTCGCACATCACTGACTCTAGACCCCCAGGGAGTCCAGGTTTCACCCCCACCAGTGGCCACAGCTGGTGCAGACGACTTGGAATCCCTGTGAGGACACCCACTCAGCAAAGCCGGTGCATCCAGGTGGCCCGCTGCCCTTCGTCCCCAGGTCTCAGTGTGAGCCCTGGAGTCTGGCGAGTCCCTGGGTACTGAGCCTTTTCCTCCTGGGCCCACCATGGTTCTTTGCACACACCCAGGGGGGTGCCATGGCCTGACCCTCGTGTGGGTCCTGAGCTGCCGGGTGGTGGTGAAGGACTAGGCAGAGCCCAGGGGACCCCTCAGCCAGTGCAGTCACCATCGCTGCCATCAGCCAGTGCAGTCACCATCGCTGCCACCAGCCAGTGCAGTCACCATCGCTGCCATCACCCAGTGCAGTCACCATCGCTGCCGTCACCCAGTGCAGTCACCATCGCTGCCATCACCCAGTGCAGTCACCATCGCTGCCGTCACCCAGTGCAGCGGTGCTGGGCTCCCAGGCCCTGACCCGGCTGGCGCTTCACAACCAACACGGTGACAGCTCCAGCTGTGAGAAGCCCCAGCACCGCCCTCCTGGCTCCCAATTCCCACTGCAAGGAGCTCACCCTGCAGTCAGGCCCCGGGGCGGCAGGCTAATGCCACCAGACCTGAGGGCCCTGGGACAGCAGGATGACACCACCCATCCTCGAGGGCCCTGGGACAGCAGGTCAACACCACCCCTCCTGGAGGGCCCTGGGACAGCAGGCCAACACCACCCCATCCTGGAGGGCCTTAGACAGCAGGCCAACGCCACCCCATCCTGGAGGGCCCTGGGACAGCAGGCCAACACCACCCCATCCTGGAGATCCCCGGGTCAGCAGGCCAACACCACCCCATCCTGGAGGGCCCTGGACAGCAGGATGACGCCACCATCCTGGAGATCCCCGGGTCAGCAGGCCAACACCACCCATCCTGGAGGGCCCCAGGTCAGCAGACCAACACCACCCATCCTGGAGATCCCTGGGTCAGCAGGTCAAAGTCACCCCATCCTGGAGGGCCCCAGGTCAGCAGGCCAATGTCACCCCATCCTGGAGGGCCCTGGGTCAGCAGGTCAATGCCACCCATCCTGGAGGGCCCCGGGTCAGCAGGTCAAAGTCACCCCATCCTGGAGGGCCCTGGGTCAGCAGGCCAATGCCACCATCCTGGAGGGCCCCGGGTCAGCAGGTCAAAGTCACCCCATCCTGGGGGGCCCTGGACAGCAGACCAACACCACCCATCCTGGAGGGCCCTGGGTCAGCAGGTCAAAGTCACCCCATCCTGGAGGGCCCCAGGTCAGCAGGTCAAAGTCACCCCATCCTGGAGGGCCCTGGGTCAGCAGGTCAAAGTCACCCCATCCTGGAGATCCCCGGGTCAGCAGGCCAACGCCACCCCATCCTGGAAGGCCCCAGGTCAGCAGGTCAAAGTCACCCCTCCTGGAGGGCCCCGGGTCAGCAGGCCAATGCCACCATCCTGGAGGGCCCCTGGTCAGCAGGTCAAAGTCACCTTCCTGGAGGTGCCTCAGGGCCACTCTGGCACCAGTGTTTGGATCAGCAGAGCCACCGGGGAGGTGGAAAGCGTTGGTGGCTCCAGTAGCAGCAACTCACTGTGAAGGGCTGTTGGGTGGCTGTGGTCCTTGGCCTCGTGACTGGGGGAAATAAACACTGGGGATCAAGGAAGGAGTGACGGCCAAATTGAGAGACGGAGCCTGCCACTCAAACACGGCAGCCATGGCTCCCACTCCTGCTCAGGTGGCCGGGCCCCTCTCAGGTAGGCTGGACCACACCTTGTGTCTGGCGCCGGACACACGTTCTCTCCTGCACCTATGACACACTCACAAGCCCCTTCTCACAGGACATGGCCTGAGACCCTGGCCATGGAGGCTGGGCCAGTGATTCCATGAGGGGGACCCCAGGCAGTGCAAGACCACCAAGGATCCTATCCCAGCACCCTGAGTGCCGAGACCCAAAGGACACGCCTGTGGAAGCTGGGCTGTGCCAGGGCACAGGACCTGCCCGTCTAAGAACCCGGAGACCGGGAGGGCGGGGCCAAGGTGGCCCCCACAGCGGTGGAAAGGCCTATTCTCTAGACATGGGCTGGTCCCAGGACTAAAGTGGGGAGGGGCGGCACCTCTGCAGAGGGTCCCTGCTTTGCCCTGACTTCCTCTAAGAGAAAGGGTTGGGCCCCATCCTGCAGGGCTGTGCGGCTGGGGGTGGCGTGCTCTGGCAGGACCTCCTGGCATCCGGGTTCAAATGGAGGCTCCCCGCTGGGGCTGATCTGCAGCCCTTGGCTTGTGGTAGCCAGCTTCTCCTGGCTACCAGGTGCCCAGATAGGACGGGGCCTCTTGAGCACCTCCAGTCTGGGGAGAACCAGGAACCAGGGCAGCCCCAGAGATGATCGGGCCTTTGAGCCCCAGGTCTCCAGGTGGCCTCCAGCAAGGGGCAAGGGCTGCTCTGAGTAGACTGTGGTGACCAGCCTGGGCGTGAGGAAGGGAGTGTGCAGAGCCCGCCCTGGGGGCCCGGGAGGCCGTGCTGAGAGTGGGGGACGCAGCCTTTCTCATCCTCTGAGGTTCTTCAGCTTGGGGACGAGAGGCTCCATGACCTTCCAAAAGGGCCTGCTATTGTCAGGGTGTGGAAACAGTCTCCACAGGACTCTGGTGGTTGCATCTGGGAGGGGGTCCAGCCAGCCTGGATAGATCCTGGCCCTCCCCAGTCCCCCACTAGGCTGACCGTGACCTGTTCCCATTTAGGCCAGCAGACCAGGTGGCCGCAAGGCTAACTGCAGCTCCTGACTCTGGGCTGGTTTCTGCCTGGGGCAGGGGGCTTCAGAGACAGCCAGGGAGCTGAGTTGGAGCCCCTCCCGAGCGTCAGGGAGGTGGGGGTGGGGTCTGAACCCAGCCCAGTCTGCAGCTGGAGGTGGCCCTCCTCCCAGCGCATGGCCCTCAAGGGCCATCTGAACGTGTACCGGAAGCTCCAACTCCACCCAGTGTGGGCATTCTGGTAAAGCGTAGCCTTGAGGGACTGTCTGCTCAGGACCCTGGCTATGTGACCTGGCCCTTACAGAGGCCAAGGGCTCATGGGATTCTGAAATGGAAGCTGGTCACCAGTGGGGGCCTGGAGAAGGGAAAGCCTGGGTCCCCACTGGGGCCTCTGTGCTCAGAGACCCCCCCCCCCCATCAACAAGCAGAGCTGGGTCCCTGGTCCATGCTTTGAAGCCGTGAAAGAGCGCCACAGGCCTGTTTTGAAGCCCTCTGGCCCAGGGAAGGCCTCCTTGACCCTGGGTTGGATCTGAACCTGACAGTCCCCAGCGGGCAGTCGGAACCCACCACCCTGTCAGAGACTAAAGGGAAAGGACACCGGGGAGATGGCTGCAAAGCCCTCACCAGCCGCTGGGGACAGAAACCCTGGCCAGCATCTTTGGCACAGGCAGGAGGAGAGGGCAGAGGGCCTGGCCTTCCTGCCCAACAACTCAGTGGACTGAAGGGTCAAGAGATGGGAACGAGGAAAGAGAAGGACTTGGGCCAGGGCCAGAGGAGCCAGAGGCCCTGGGCAGCCATGCCCCTCAGCAAGGGACCCAGCAGCCGGGGCTGCATCGGCCCCTCCCCCACCCCAGACCCCCTGGAACTCCCCACCTCGGAACTGCTTCAGGGGCCACCCTGCATCACAAAGGACCCCAGGAAGTTGCTCAGTGTGACCTCCCAGCGTGGCCCCACCTGACCTGCCTTCCTCCACCTGAGCCCACCTGCTTGGCCTGACTCACCCCAGCCCTGGGTGTCCCTGTGCCACTCCGAGTAGAAAGGTGAGGTGCTGTGTGTGTGCCCCTGTGGCTGGCTTCCTGGGCAGCACCTTGAAGGCCCCTCCCTGTGCCAGCCCAGTTCATGCAGGACAGGCGGGCACTTCCTGTAGGGCTCCACCTGGGCAGCGGCCCCTCTGGCACAGACAGACAGCCTTGCCAGAGGCCCCGTGCCCCCCCATGTGCGGTGGAGGGCCTGGAGCAGGCCATGTGTGGTGGGAGTGAGAGCAGGTCAGACTGCAGGACGGAGGCCAGGATGGGGCTGGGCAGGGCACCGTGTGGCTTCCGCAGCAGAGGACAGGCTGGTTTGGAGGCAGCAGAGACCTCAGAGGAACTCCAGAGGGCATGGGGCACATCAGCACCAAGGTTCTGGTTCAGCCCAGGGGAGGCGCCAGGCAGCACTGGATTTGGGACCCCTGTGGATCAGGGGAGGCTCAGGTGGAACCCAGAGCCAGGAGACTGAGGGGTGCCAGATAAGCTGGCCGTACAGCCCTCCTGGGGACTGACCTGCATTTCTAGGCCACCCCCCATTGGGCCATTCAGCAGGTGATGCTCAGGTAGGATAAGAGACACATGTGAGCCCCCCAGTGAGTCAGGACGGGGACTCGGGCACAGCCCATGAGTGTCCTGAGTGAGAATGCTGAACCCAAGCCCTGGTCAGTCTCATTGGCTCCCACGACTGGGCACATCTTCCTCATCTGTCCCGAAGGCCCCCGCCTTCCTGTGGGGTCAGGCTGGGGCACCGCACGTGGGGTGTGGTCCTGCTTAACGGCTGTGGCCTGAAGCACAGGAAGGCAGCCACTGCTCCCAGGGACCCCAGCAGGGGCAGCCAGGGATGCGCTCACCCCCACTCCCCACTCACCCAGGCACAGCCATGCAGACACACACGTGCACTCACACCACTCACACCTGCACACACACACATGCCCACAGGAGCACAGACAGACCTGGAAGCCCTCAGAGTACTGTCCCTGTCCCTGCTTGCCAGCCCTCTGTCCTGCCCACAGCAGCAACCTGTCCCCCGTTCTGTCTGTCCTCACTGCTGCCCGCTATCTGCCTGGCTCAAGAAGGTGTGCCCTCTGTACTGACGAGATGGGGGACACGACCAGAGTGGCACCCAGCCAGGGGGCTGCTGGGGCTGGGCTTCAAGGCTGTGTGGCCCTGCTGGTCCTTCCCTGGCCTGTGTGGTCACCATTGGTGCTGATCATTTATGTCCTCTTCTCATGCTCCTGGGCTCCAACAGGAAACATGGACAGAAAGCCCAGTGGTGAGAGCCACCTCCCTGACCCAGCACCCAGGATCGGAGTACCAGGGTGCCCCGGGCACAAACAGCCCCGCAGGCTCTGTGGCAGAGGCCCCTCAAGAACGCAGGAGCTGAGCCCCCCAGTCTGGAGTGCAGATCCCAAGCTGTGAACAGCAAGGGTCCAGCCCCTGCCCGCCAGAGGGGCCCAGAGAGAAGCTGACCTTGAGAGGAAGCTGCCACCATGGCCAGCTGGTGGCACCTTCCCTACCACAGGTGCCCCCTACCCTGGGCACTCCGAGGCTGCAGTCTTTGGCTAGTGCAAGAGCTCAGAGACCCAGAAACAGGAACTGACCCTTCCCCAGCCAGCAGAGGACAGGGCTTTGGAGCTGCCCTTGGCCACCTCTCCCTGCCCTTGGCCGGGGGTGCTCAGCTGTGCGCTCTCCCGTCCAGAACTTTGCTGATGGGGAAGTCGGAAAGCCCAATGGGGATGGAGAGAGCCAGCCCACCCGCGCAGAAGCGCAGAGGCTTCCTAGAGTGGGCGCTGCTGCTGCTGGTGACAGCAGCCCTGGTGGTCCTGGGTATCCTCTACAGCAGAGGTGAGTGAGGACGCTGCACCCCACCACCCACCCCGCCCCACAGGCCTGCTTGCCCCCAGTGGGGCCTAAGGGGCGGCCCAGGTCCCAGAGGCCCTCAGACTCCTACCGCCGGCAACAGAGAGGGTCCCAGGGGGACGCTGCCCTGTGGGGAGCCAGTAGCCCCTTTCAGAAAGCTCTGCGTCACAGCTGCTGCTCCAGGCTCTGCGGGCTCTGCCTCCGCCCCCTCTGCCTCTGCAGGACTTCTGGATGCCAAAGGCAGGCCCCTGCCCCATCCCGCAGACCCCCTCCCAGGCCTTGGCCGAGCAGCCCGCAGAGCACAGCTGCAGTTCCCGGCCAGCCCAGCAGGAGGAGCCCGGGCTCCTGAGCTGGGTCCCACCCCTGCGAGGCTCTGCTCACCTGGCCGCCTTCCTCAGTGCCATGCAGTCCAGGTGCCAGCATCCACCCCTGCCCTGCCAGAGGCTCCAGCTGTAGTCCCTGGGGCCCAGTGGCTTCTGAGACAGAGTCTGCTAATTGCAAGACGGCGGGAGGGGCCATTCTGGGTACCCACGGAGATGGAGGCGTGGCCAGGACTGCCCTCAGGGACCCTGGGCTGCCCTGGTGCCCCTTCTCCTTTGCTCTCCCCCACAAAGACCCACGTGGAGGAACCAGAATGCTCCTCTTCAGGTGGAGTGGGGTGAACGCCCAGGCACCGGGCAGCCCTGGTCAACGTGAGCTGCCACCCGGCCCCTGGCCAGCCCCCATCCTCCCTGAGCCTCGGGTTCCTGCGCACATGGCCGGTGGGGCTCACACACCAGCGCTGACTGCTGTCCTGCTGTGGGCGGGCACAGGACACAGACATGCAGGTGAAGGGCTTGCCTGGCCTGGTTCTAGGAACAGAGCATTGTGGCCATGTCACTCAGTGTCCCTCAGGAGCCACCCATCCATTGTTGGCAGCTGTTCCTGCAGAACAGAAGTGGGTGCTGCCCGAGGACAGGGTGGGCATCCACAGGCCAGGCTGCCTGCAGGAGCCTTGTGGAGTGGGGCAGCTGCCCAGCAGTCACTGTGGTCTCTGGCCCCCCAGGGCCTCCTGCAGGGTCAGAGGGGCCCTGCCAGCTCCAGGGGCAGGAAGCTCACCTGGAGGGTCCAGGGCTCAGGGAACCTTTGTTCAGGGCTCTCAAAACACCTGGCTTTGAGGCTTACAGGGAACAGGGAACCCAGCTTCAGTGTGCAAGGGGCCCCGCTCCTGCCTCTGCGGGAGCCCACCCTGCAAGAGAAGAGGCCCTCACTCCCCCTTGCAGTGTGTGGGTCCTGGGTGAGGTCTCTGCCTCCTCCTGCCTTCACACCTCTGCCCCATTTCTTGCCTACCTCTCCCTCCCCTCCTGCATACTGAGCTCTTGGACAATTGGGCTCTTCCTGGCCCTCCGGGGCCTGCAGCCTGGGGCTCCTCGGCTGTGACCCCCCAGGAATGACCCAGGCTAACCTTGGCCTCAGTCCCCGATGAGGGGGCAGGAGCTTCTACATGCAGCCTGCTCATTGTTCGTTTCCAAGTGTGCTTTCTCATTTCCATGTTCTCTCTTGATGTGTGAGTGATTTAGATTTATTTCTTTGATTTCTAGATTTAAATTATTGCCGGTCTCTGGCTTACTTGTGCTGTTGCCAGAAGCCCCGGTTCAAGCTGTTCTTGGTGAGGTTCTCTGGTGCTTGCTGGGGCTGGCCGGAGGGCTGACTCTGGCTCCGTCCCCACAGTGCAGGTGCCCTGGTGGGACACGCAGCCCTGATGCTGCCGGAAGTGCTCCTCCGTGGCCGCGAGGTCAGCAACTCCTGCAGGCCTTAGTCATTCTCTTGATCTTCAGTTATCGAGGTGTGTGCGTGTGTGTGCACGCGCACGCCTGTGTACGCAAACAGTGGTGTCAGTTTCTTGTATCCGTTTATCCATCTTAGATGTTTAGGGCTGTACTATCACATGGGCACATACTTAGATAAAACGAAAGCTTGGCTTTATAAGTATGAGGCAGGTTTCACTTCTAGATATACACAGAGAATCCTCTATCTTCCACGAATACCCTGAGTCTCCGTCCTCCTGCCTTGTGAACACGCAGTGCTCAGTGGAATCGCTTGGTCTATCCTTTCCATTCTTTTCCCTTGAAACTTCATGGGCTTTGCCTCCCAGGTGCCCCTGGCGCAGTGGTGGGTGGTGGGTTTGGTCTTTGTCTTCCCGGTGTCTGCGTTCGCACTCAGCACCACAGCGCCCCCTGTCTGCGGTTCCCAGTCAGCACCACAGCGCCCCCCCCTCTGCGTTCGCACTCAGCACCACAGCGCCCCCTCTCTGCGGTTCCCAGTCAGCACCACAGCGCCCCCTCTCGGGGGTGTTCTCCTGCCTGCCTTTGCTCTTCTCCCACCTTCTTCTGGATTGCTCTATCACGATTCACTCCATGTTCCCTCAACTCGGAACTTTTATATTTCTGTCCTTTGGATGGTTATCTTCGATTCGTTCATTTAATTATTGGCTATTGAAGGTCACAAATAAACCTTTTTATAACAAAGTCACATGACAGTCCTGTGCCCCAACCCCTGACCATCCTGGATTCTGCTCCACAGAAGCAGTCCTGCTCTTCCCCTAGCGCCACGGCCCCCGGCCTGCTTTTGTAGATACAGGTCTGTTGGACACAGCAGCACCCACTCACACAGCACGGCCTGTGGCTGCTCTCTGCTGGCCGGCAATGTGAGTAGAGAGGTGGTGACCATGCATGGCCACAGAATCTCTGGCCTGTACAGAAACAGCGCCAGCCCCTGGACCAGGGCGCCTCCTCATGCATCTGGAGCTCACTGTCCACCCTCGGCCCTTTGCTACATGGTGTAGACCGTGAGTGGGCACCATGTGGCTGTGGCTAACACCCAGACTTCAAGTGGACAGCCCCGCTGGCCACCCCACTCTCCAAAGGTGCATGTGCTCGGGTGGTTTCCATAACTCTGTGCCTCGGTTTCCTGCTGTGAACGCACGTTAGGAGCACTGGCATGGGAGCCTCGCTGGAGGGTTCATGACTTCATACACCAGTGACAATTAGAAAACTGTCCGTCGTGCGGTTGGAGGTCAGGTGCAATCCTCAAATGTCAGATTCTGCCATTGGCCCATCAATATTGCTCCTGACATCTTGTTGGAAGGCACCCAGATCTCCACTTCCCAACACAGGCATAACTATGGCTTCCCATTAAACCCACACTCAGCATTTACCACTTTTTTGGGGGGTGGGGGAGCCAGGGATAGAACTCAGGGGCACCCGACCACTGAGCCACATCACCAGCCTTATTTTGTATTTCATTTAGAGACAGCGTCTCACTGAGTTGCTTAGGACCTTGCTAATTTGCTGAGGCTGGCTTTGGACTTGCGATCCTCCTGTCTTGGCCTCCCGAGCCCTGGGATTACAGGCGTGCACCACAGCGCCCAGCTCATTCACCACTTTTTATGGTGTGTTTTCAGAGCTGAACCATAGAGGATAACGGATTGCAGTTCCTGTATTCATTCCTACTTTGTTTCCTCATCATTACTAACTTGTTTGAAGAGTTATCCTTTTTTTCTGCCAAATTATTCTTACTTCAAGGCCTGTCCTGACCCATCTCAAAAAACAAAACCATGTGCTTTTTAAAGCAGATTTCAGCTGTGGGACGCTGCCACACGCAGCCAGAGCCTAAATCGACAGTAACATGCTAGTCACTCGGGATGTAACTCAACTCAAGGTGGCATTTCTAAATTTTAAAATTCTTCTCCTAACCTTTCTGATCTCTGCTCCAAAAACATTTTTTAAAACAGCAAGCAGCTTTTAGTTTTGCACAAGTAGTTATCATTTGCTGTCTCTTATCTGCAAAAGGTCACAAGCTTGAATAAAAAGGGGTGGGGGGGGGGAGTTCCTGACAGTTTCTGACCTGAACAGCACTTTCTCCTTTGTTGCCGAGACCCTGGGCAAATTTTAATGGGCGGCCTCGGGCTGCCTCCCAGGGTCCCTCACCTCTCACAGGGAGTCTCCAGGTCTTCAGAGGGTGAGTCTTGCCCACGTCGCCGTGTCTGCTGGGCACTGCCCAAGGTGGCATCATTTGCATCTACAACACAAGGTGCCAGTTCTCTTCCAGAACCCCACGAGTCCCACATCCGGGCGACACACCAGTCCTTCTTGCTTTCTAGCCATCCCCCACGTTCCGTCCTGTGGCTCCTAGACTGCAGGCGAGCCGCACGTTACCTCCCCACTTTGTTGTCTGGAGAGTCTTCATTCGCACCCGTTCTGAGAGACCCTCGCTCTGGGCAGACTCGTGGCGGGGCTCTCGGGTCTTTTCCATGAGGGTCACTCCTTCGCCGCCGCCTCGCACCATCTCCTGAGGAGTCTGTGTGCTCCACCTTCACCCCCTGGTCTCTAAGTGGCTCCCTTTCCTGGAGCCTGGATGAGCTTCTCCCGGGTTCCCAGCAGCGAGGCTGTGGGGTGTCTCTGTGGGCTCTGGGCTGAGTGTGAAGATCTTGGCACCTGTTCTGTGGGGTTCTCTGCAGTATTGTGGTTCACAGTTCTCTGTCTTTCACTCATTTTGGAAAATACACGTCACCTTTTCAGGTATTTCTTTGGCCCCTTCTCGCTCTCCCTCTTCCTTTCCGCCCCTTTTCTTTTCTCATAAGAGAGCAGGACAGGTCCTTCCCCACTCTGTCTTTCCCTCTAGAAATACTTGCACCACGGGCCATCTGCCAGGAGTCCTCCCAGGGCCAATCTGATGGGGCTGCTGCCTTTGGACTTTCACCTTCTAAAACTGTGGGCTAAATAAACAGATTTCAAAGGACCCGGCCCATGGCAATTTGTTGTAGCAACAAAAAATGGGCTGGCCCTCCACTCGTGGCGGACGGCTGTGCTGACCAGCAGTAGGCTCTTGGGGCAGGCAGGGGCATTCTGGTGCCGGCTGAGTCTCAGCCCTAGGCAGGCCTGCGTGCCCTGCCCCGTGCCCACATCAGCTAGACTCGGCCCCATGCCTGAGCACCCTGCCCACTA